TCTTAATGCACCCCAGGATCCCATTGGCCTTCTTGGCCACGAGGGCACCCTGCTGCCTCGTGGTCAATTTGTTGTCCACCACGATGCCCAGGTTCCTCTCTGCAGAGCTGATCTCCAGCAGGTCGGTCCCCAGCCTGTACTGGAGTCTCTTTGCCACATAACTGTATAACAACATTAGCGCCCTTGCATACACCTGCACATGACCAAGTTCCTCACACCCGACTTTGTATGTCGAAGATGCACCATGAAGTACCTGCAGGATGTACTCCATTCCAACCAGTCCCCACATCACAGAGCATTTCACCACGTCTGGAGAAACTGGCTCTGGAAGATTGCCCGATGTGCTCCTGCACCTACATACAGGTACCTCTTACCTGAGCGCTGCGTTTAGCCCAGACTGTTGTTTACCAGCTGCCATTCTAAGGAAGGATAACGTAAATAATGAGAAGGGAGCACGTTTTTCCAGTTACTAATGCTGTAGGATAACGTGGAAGTTACACCAGTATTAGATTTAGTGCTTATTATTAAGTACTTAATGACTTGTGGCAGAAAGACAGCGGTAGCGCAGAAGGGTGCACAGGAAGCGCTGATTTTATCTCGCCGCCTTGCAGCCTCTGCGTTTGCGCGATTCCCCGGCGCGCTGGCTGAGGGGACCAAGCCGCAGGTTTCTGCGTGCAGACGCGCTGCTCTCACCCTCCTTCCTGCCCTTTTATCGCCTCGCCGATGCTAGTGCACGGCTTCGGCGGCGGCGGGAGCGGCTGGCACCCGCTCGGCACGCGCATCCCGGCGGCTGGCTGCAGTTTCGGGCGGCGCTGCAGGTGTTTCCGTCCCACAAATAACCGCGAGGGCGGCCGCATCCGCCCGCCAGCGCCGGGACAGGCGCTGATCAATGAATTCATCTCCCTCCCCTGCACACAGGGCACTGCAGAAACCCCCAGGGATTTTTCAGGGAGGATCTGCCAGGGTTTGGTTTATACTCGTAGCTGTCCAACCCAGACCCTTCTCTGAGGTTTTCTCAACTCCCTGGTTCATTTAAAGCCTTTTTTTCCAGTACCCATTGGGTGCTTGAAAGCCCAGAAATATATTTCTTAAGACATAAGCTGTGGATCCAAGCTATTTAAAGCCTACTAGATTAGAATTTTGCTGCTACATGAACATGTACGTTGTGTTCTGAGGATCCCTATCACTGCGGTCACAATTTGGACGCTGCATTAACTTTTGCTTTACATATATATATATATATATATGAGCTAGCAGTGCTGGACTTGCTTTACATCACCACGCTTTATGGATGGGGTAACTCATGTCTGAGGCTGACGTATTCAGACAGGAGCCAAGCAGTGGCTCAGAAGTGCTAGTAGATACTCAGTAAACTCGGTTTCTTGTTGGGTGATCTCTCTCATTCCTACCAGAAGGACCCCAGATGAGAGCCCTGACCTACAACACTGTTCTTTGCCCCAAAACTGTAGCATTTTAACCATTGCTACCATGCAGCTGCTGCAAAATATAAAATCTATCTTCTAAACACAAGCTGATGGATGGCAACACAGAGAGTCCTTCATTGCTAGCAACAGTACAGTTGCATGCAGTGGTACCTTGCCCTAGTAAGCTTGCTCTGTCCATCCCCCAGGGCAAAAATACGGAACAGAAAAACCCCTTACCTGCTCCTCAGGCCAAGGCAGCTCTTGCTCACAGCCAGACGTGGCGAGGAACCCAGCTGGCCCTCCAGGAAGCCAACAGGGCTCTGTCGAGACTGGAAGTAGTCGGAATTGGCAAACGATTAAACCAGAACCTCGCTCTGCAGTGATACGAGCTCCGTGTGTTCCGATCCGTCTGATCAAGCCAATTTTCCAGTTAAGAGTGCTTTAAGTGCCCCTAAATACAAAGTTTCTTTACACCACTGTTTTCGTATGCAGTTTGTTTTAAACTCCCACTGGCTAAAAAGCTTGGTGGTGCTGATGATCCTGTTATGCTTCGGGAATTACTATGCACCAATTGATTGGATTAAGGGATTAGAGATGCAGGCAGAGCTGGGTGCCCTTTGCCATCGCTGCAGCGTTACAGGCTTGTGCAAGAGGCAATGCAGAGACATGGTGGCAAGAGCATCCTATGGCTCTTTAGGCTTCACCTCTGAAAAACAAGCACCGAGTTAAGAGGAATGCACGAAGTCCTCTCCAATTCACAGCAAAAAAAAAAAAAAAAAAAAAAAAAAAACCCAAGGTGCCCTAAAAAAGGGGGCAAAATTTTAGAGAGTCTTGCTTCTCTCATCCAAAGAGCAACAGCTCTACCTAAATAAGCCATGTTATCAGGAATGTTTTTGCTGTGGTAACAGCAGTTATGTACATTGCATTTCTGTGCACCGGTGGGTCAGTGGTTTCCCCAGCCCTGGCTGCAGGGTCCATGCTGAAGTGCACATCCATGTGGACATGTGATTTTACAGGGGATTAACCAAGCACACTACCATGTTATCAAACATCATAGTGTTTACAGTACAATTAATCATAGGTAAAAGAACAGACTATTTTTCTAGCCCTACCTTTCCATCCTGTAGTAAAAATTACATTTTGTCTGCACTAAAATTTAGTGGGAGTTTATATGCATTAAATACCATCCTTTAAAACCCAACGAAAAACCCCACACCTTTTCAGTAGTAAAGAAACATCTGCAGCTAAACTTGCTTCCCATCTTTGTGCATTAACTCAGGTCTCTCCCAAGTTTTTTGAGAGTGATTCAGCACCGATTCCAAAGCATTTCCCGAAATTCTTTACCATGTAAGGGCATAGGAACTTTCTTTTTTGAGCATATTCTGCATCTTGCAAAGTGAGCGGAGCAGTGCAAGATTGCTGAGGCAACTTGCAAACGGCCAGCATTCAAAGCCTGCAGCTGGTCAATTATTTCAGTTTTGGGTTAAATCGTTTGCCACCTGACAGGGAATATGACCTGCTGCTTAGAGAGGAGTGCGAGTTCAAGGCTCCAAGTGCTCTTCCCAGTAATTTTCAAGACTTGTGAACTCAAAAAATCATCTACATCTTGCGGGCCTTGCTTTCTATTATATACAAAATACTTTACAAAGATACTATAACACAAATGCACTGTATAACTCTACAAAGACAAATCTACTAGTAGCAAAAACTGTTGAGACTTGCTGTGAAATATTAATTATGCTTCTATTCCACAAAACATTAATAAGTATTTGTTTGCTAACAACTATTTATTTGCAAATATTGGATTGCTTGGGGAAAGTAAGTGTTGCTGAAATGAGGGCACCCAGCTCAAGCCTTCACAGACAGATGGAGGGAAGCTCAAATTATTATTATTTTAGGCAAAATATAGATTAATAAATTATGATTAGTGAAGCTCTCACATACTTCATACATTGCTGTTAATAGCTCCCTCTAAGATAATAGACTATCTCTTTGTAAATCATGTCCAGGCCTGTTATTTCTGTCAGGTATATAAAAAAATGGCTAAATAAAGTTCCCTACATTAAATCTACATTTTAATAAAGAATCTGTTACAGATTTTAAAAATAAATCTATGGTCACCAATATTTTAAAGGACCCTAAGAATCAATAAGACATAAGTCTAGACACTACTAAGTGCCAGACTTCGGGGCTGGGCATTGATTTTTGTTGGCAAGCTGTAGCACTGCCGCAGGCACTAGATTCACTGCTGACCCTGTCCAGGTTTTGCGGAGCAGCAATCAAAAATGCAGTATTTACCAGCCCACAGGCCAGAGAGGTTCCCGCAGCCTGTGCGGGGGCTCCGAGCAGCCGAGTCGCTCCGTCTCCGAGTCTCTTCCCGTTCCCTTTGGGCAGCTGCCTCGCACCAAATGATCGGAGAATGATAGAATCATGTCGTTATCCCATCAAATTCCTGTTGGATTCGTGTTCATTCGCAATGAAGGAAGCTGCATCCCTGGAGAGACCCTTTCCTTCACTTCCACAGCCAGCCTGACCTATCCACAGGGTCCAGTAAAGATTCCTTTGCCATCGGAGTTTATACAGCCACTATGAATCCCTACTACAGCACCCACTGCAATAAATCCTTCCTCCAATACCAATTACAAATACTTTGTCTTGAGCAAAGAAGATGAAGCCAGGGAAAATAAATACAAGAGAAAGTGAAAAATGACTAAAACTCAGTCTTCACTTTTATGCAAACCCTTTTCAAATGAGCATGAATACTCTTGCATTTGTAATTACACATGAATTCAATATGTTTTTACTTTTCCTATCTCTTCATGGTAGAGGCTTTCAATAAAGACAATTTCTAACTAGCCTAAGAGCTGAGTAATGAAAACCTGAATTATGGACTCGCTGAAACCACTGCAGAAGGAAGGAAACACATGAAGGAGAGTTATAAGGAGGGTTAGATTTCAAAGAAGCATTTAAGTAATTAAGAAAATAACAAAAAAGGAAATATAAAATCCATTTGGGTGGAAAACAAGATAGAGAATGGCTAAGACAGTTAAAATAGGAGATTATTTCTCCCAAATGAGGCAATATGTAATCACTCATTATGGATTCATTGGGTGTAAGTGATATGACATACTTGAGATGGGAA